TAAACATGCTCTTGATAAACTATAACCATGTGAATGATTGAGCTCAAGAAATCAATCTTGATTGATGATGATGAATTAACAAAAAATTACGGTCTTTACAGAGAGCTTGTGCGGAAGATCGTAATTCTAAGAATGACAACTAATACCTAATTTACATCATGACAGATACATATATACCTAATACAATAGGAATAGAATGAACACAAATAAGACACATTAAAATAATAAAAGGCCCAAAAAATAAAAGAGGTCCAACGTCCATCCGTTTAATCTTGATACGCCCCCTGAAGAGGAGCATGTATGTCCAACATGTTCATCTTAAGAGGCTTTTTATATTTATGTACAAATTGAAAGCTATTTTTAATGTGAATCAAATTAATAAAACAGAAGCAATTTTTCTTTTATTAAGTGGCAATCTAACTCAATATGTTTAGTCCTTTGGTGTTGAATAGGATTATGAGCAAGGTGATAAGTGGATTTATAATGAATCTATATATATATATATATATATATATATATATATATATATATATATATATATATATATATATATATATAAACATATGTAAAGAGAACCGAACATGTAAATCATGAAGAATGTAATAAATATAACCACTAGACATCACAGACTGCATTAACAGTTGCTATGTATTCAGCTTCAATAGAAGATGTACTAACAACCCGCTGTTTTTTTAGATTTCCGGGAAATTAAAGAATTACCATGGTAAAAAGCATACCTAGAAACACCCCTTCTAGTACCAATACAAGCAGCCCAATGTGAATCTTTATAACCTTGTATAGAAAAAACAGAAATAGATGGGTAGAAAAACCCTTGTCTGGAGAACTTTTAAGGTATCTTAAAATCCCGTGAGTTGCACTCATATGAACTGGAGAAGCAAGAAACTGACTAAGAACTTGAATACTATAAGCCATATCAGCGTTTGTAACAGTAAGATAAAATAGCTTTTATGATTAAGGTTCTATATGTTTTAGGGTTATCTCATACAGTTCCATCATTTTTAGATAGTTTAACTTTGTAATCTATGGGAGTAGTATATGGTTTACAATTTAGATAACCACATTCAATTAAAATATCAAGAGTTTATTTCCTTTGGCCCGAATATATACCTTTATCGCCTTATCGGATCTAGCAATTTCAATTCCTATGATATATTTTAATTCTCCAATATCCTTAATAGTAAATTTATTATTTAAAATGGTTTTTACTTCAATGATTTCTTTTATGCATACTGTCTATATCCATCAAGAGTAATACCCTCTACATATATTAAAACAATTGTGAAAGAAGTTTTAGTAGTTTTAGTGATTAAAGCAAAACCAGCTTGTGATTGTTTGTATCCAAACAGTTTATGTGAATCACAAAGTTTAAAAACCATTGTCTAGATGCTTGTTTAAGACCATATAGACTATTGACAAGCTTGCAAACTCTGCTATCATTAAGAGGCAAATAATTTGGAGGTGAGTGTGAGTGCATATAAATGTCTTCATTTAAATCACCATGTAAGAAAGCATTATTTACATCAAGTTGATGTAAGAACCAATTTTATCACTAGCAATGGCTAATATCCTATGATGTCAAAATAATAAAAACCTTCTTCTTATGTATATCCTTTAGCAATTAATCTTGCTTTATATATGTTTAAGAAGCCATTGTTTTAAAAACTCATTTACATCCTACAATGTTCTGATTAGAAGGTAGATTACCGAAAATTCAAGTTTTAATTTCCTCGAGATATATTTTCCTAATAATTTTGTTTGCAAAAGGATACTTTGTACGTACAGAGCATTTGTACGTATTCTTCATCGTCGTTGATAATAAAAATAGACTTGAAAGTATGGAGTATTGGAGTTGTCAAATGCAAAATATTGCTCATATGTCTTTATAATAGGCAATAAGATGTCTTTAGGCAAATTTTGGGATGTGACAACACACGATCCACTATATAGGGAGTAATTTTGATTTGACAATTCCATACTTCCAAACCTAAATAAATGATTCACTTGTAGTAAACAATTTTTTAGCAGGAATACTATTCATGATTTTTTTTTATTTGTTACTCCCTCCATCCCACTAACAATGGGACAAGAGGGAGTAACACGCAAATCTATAAAGAGTGATTTATGTGGTTGATATTGAATTGATAAAGTAAGAATAAAGTAAGAATGATTTTGAGCTACACAAACTTTACCAAATAAGGTATGAGACAATCTTAGTGGGACGAACCGAAATGGTAAAATGGAACAATCTTAGTAGGACGGAAGTAGTATATATTACTACCTTCGTCCCACTATGTTTGGGACAAAGGGATGTGGCACAACTTTTAAGAAAAAGGAGAAATGTGTGGTTGATATTGAATTGATAAAGTGCATGTGGATGAAGTAAAAAAGAATTGTAACCACCCAAATATTACCAAATATGGTATGTGATAAATTTAATGGGACAAACGAAAAGAGTAAAACGGGACAAAGTTAGAGGGACGGAGGGAGTAATAGATAGATTCACATGTCTAGCTGTTTTGCGAAGAATCACGCCTCAGCGGTAGAAAAACACTGGCCACACTTCGGCGGCAAATCGATAAATACCGGTTTACTAACCCTAGCGATATCGATCAGGCGGCTCTTCGAGTTATTATTTCAACCAGTTCAAACCTGACTATGAACCCGTTTAGTAGCACGAAAATCGGTTGTTTTGGCTGATTCTGCTGAAATTTATGAAGTTCTGGCTGAAGTGGCTACATTGGCTGTTTCTGCTGATTTGAGAAAAAATTATGTTTAAAATATATTTTATTAATAAAATAAAGAAAAATTATATGTAAAAATAGCTAAAATGATCATCTACAGTAACTTCAGCCAATACAGTCAGAAAAGTAACTTCAACCTTACTTTTTCTGCTTATTACACAATTCAACTCGCGAAAGCAAAAGTTACGTGTTTGGTGTAAAAATTGACTGATAAGCCTGATAAGACGAAAAACATTGTTGCCAAATGGCCTCTATATTTTTAAAAATATTTAAGGTTGTTTCCTCCAAAAAAAGCCTGTCGAGGATAATTTCTTCACAATATTCCTTATTGTTTCGTTCTATTCTAATTCCGATTGAAGCTGGACCTTCCAAATTAATGTAAATGAAAATTTTATGATAGATCAACCCTAAACAAACTGCGCACAATATAAAGCCGGTTTATTGGTGCCCATGTATTTCAGCTTAGTAGCTAATTTTTTCAGCAAACACGCAACTTTTGATTTCGCGCGCTTAATTGTGTAATAATAAGAAAAAGTAAGGTTGAAGTTACTTTTCTGACTCTATTGCATTGGCTGAAGTTACGGTCGATGATCATTTTAGCTATTTTCATATACTTTTTTCTTTATTTCATTAATAAATTAGATTTTGAATATAATTTTTTGATAAATCAGCAGAATCAGACAATACAGTCACTTCAGCCAGAACATCATAAATTTCAGCAAAATCAGCCGATTCGCCCGATTTGAGTGTTACCAAACAGGCTCATAAGCACAATCACGTATAGACAGTACTCTTAATTCTTTCCAAAATTTGAGTTGAATAATTCATATCTAGCTGAAATAAAAGTAAGATTAAATGAGTCCAAAAGAATTATTGGTTTCATATGCGTACTAGTATATGTAAAATATTATATACGTATATAAGTTCATGTAGTTTTTTTTTTAAATCGCAGTGCAAACCATCCGAGGATGGGGTAGGGACCGGGGAACACCCTACCTATTTATTAATAATGAAAGATACACAGTAGGAGGACATAAGACCGAGCCTACCAAGAAAAATACTAGATTACATACGGATAACTAATAACATCAAATTTGAGAATGCCTACAAAATGATTAAAGTGATTTTGTGATCTTTTTATTTGGATCTTATTGTAGGCAATGTAGTCTGCTGCTTTATTGACACCCGAGTCAATATATGAAAATGTGAAGCGATGGCCGTTGTAGAGTCTTCAAATTAGGCAGATATGTGTACGTCCAATGGGTCTAGTGATGTAAACTCTCTCCACGTATGGCATTACAAACCTGTATATTATCAAGTTCAATAATAAAATTGGTTTGGATTAACGTGTCAAAAAGAGGTCTAAAGTAGATAATGGCTTTATAGAGAGCACACGTAAGGTCCAAGTTCTGCAAAGTGTGTGCGGCGTGCCCTTTATAGTTGCCATTATTATCCCGAAAAATCAAACGAGTCCTAACAAAGTTCATATGGACAGGCCGAGAAGCAATATTCACTTTAATATAATTCGAGTTGGGCTTGATCCAATGACAAAGGTGAGTAGTGTTTAATTTAGGGGTACTCTCAGTATGGAGGTGGATATTGTATGGTGAGGGGGAGGTAGTCTTCAGGGGCCTGGCAACCGAGGTTAGGTAGAGATCTTTCCTTATAAGAGCGATAGCATCAGTGCTAGTGATAATTCTATCATCATAAAGCAAAGTGTTACGAATTTTCCAAAGATGCCAAATAATGATATTAGGAACTATAAAGTTTAAATCTTTGATCGGTCCTTTAAAGTCAAAATACCAATGATTAATGTACTCATTAATGCCGCCATTTTGATTTTTAGGGAAATGAAAAAGGACTTCAAAGTGCCTCCAAACGTTTACCGTGGTTGCACAGTGAAGGAAGAAGTGATTTATAGTGTCAACGTTATTACAGAGCACACATTTGAAGGGACCAAGGATCCCGAACATAAGTTCATGTAGTTAAGAGTGGATAAGCGTTGTTTTTTAAATTTAGTAATATAACTACTATGAAGAATCAACTTGAATACATTTCAAATTTAGATAGTGTTGATTTTGCATGGGTCATAACTTTTGACGAAATGAGTTACGAAAACTATAATATCAAAATTTAAAATATTTTAATAATATACATTCTCAAATTTAAAGTATTTTAATAATATACATTCTCAAATTTAGTACTACTTAATACGTAGTACTAGTAGTATTTGGTAAGGTTTTCTCTCCATCTTTTCTTGGTGCGACCAAAGTTGACTTTCCTGAATCCTGATTCACCTATCCAAAGCACTTAACACAATCCTGCAACGTACATACAATAATAAAGTCTCAATCGGTGTTATTACTAATTAAAATTACCGTTGGAATAGTATGTACAAAACATAATTGAGGCTAACACCATGTCGTATAAGATTTTGAGTTTCATTCAACATAATATGAGAATTGAAGCAGCGCAAAAATTTTAGGTGACAACTCCGGTACCCATTTAAAAAATGGGGTACCGTACCTACCATGCATTTGATTGGTCCCCTATATCATTTTTTATTTAGATTTAAATAATTCAACTGCAACACTCTTATTGGTCCATGTGGACAAATGTATGGTACCTTAAGGGTACCATACAATCTACCAAATTTTATATAGTGTTTTATTATTTTATAGTTTTCCGGTGTAGGACAATTACTTAAACACGTCCCCTAAGCCCAAATCGGGATGGACAATATCAGAATTTATAAATGGATCAAACATACCATTAACAATCTATCCTTAATCACCAGTTCTGATGCCGTATTAAGATCTCTGATTTCATATATGACTAAAAACATAATTGCACTTGAGACTTGAGACCATACCAGTCGTAGCCACTTGGAGTCGATTTCCTCCTCGCCAACTTGTGATTCCCACGAGGCGTAGTAGCTATATATAGAGGGAGTATTCAATAATTATCCTAAATATGACTAAAAACATAATTGCGCAAATAGAACTAAACATTATTTTTTTTACTCTTAATATCATATCTAATTATTATTATTTTGAGGAAATAATCTAATTAATTAATTGTCCCCTATTTCTTCTGGGCAATCTCATCAGTCCATTGGTGGCAAGGGTCGGTGGTGGTGGCGTACTGGGGCAAAAAAATCTGATTTTTTTTGCCCTGCCAGAGCTCCTGAGGCGACCGGCGGCCAGCAGAGGCGAACGGCTACCGGAATTTGGGCAGTGGCCAAAGCCCGGCGGTGGCAGTGGCGGGTGGTAGCATGTGGTGGTAGGGATATTTTTATCCAATCACAAAAAAACTCTTATTTTGGCAATTTTAAAACCACTACTCGTGTTTGTGATTTATTTTTGAAAGGCTATTTGTAATTTTTGATCTTATTTTAATCTTGTTTAGGTAACTCATTTAGGAGTATTATATTAGGTACATTTATTCACACAAATTACACATTAATATATACGTCAATATATACCATTAACTTAATTAGTTACTTGTTTATCGATCATAAATTATCAGCATCATTATATGAAATAATTCTAAATATATAATCAAAATAAAAGCTAGGTTATAAGCAAAAGTGTGACCCTGATAACTTTAGTGATGAATATAATTGTACTAAAATATTACATCATAGTAACTATAAAACTTAATTACACATAATAACTTTTAGTCACATTTTTGTTCACAAATTTTGTATAAGTAATGTTTTACGAAAAAATGTGGATAAATGGACCTAATATAATACTTTTAGCTTAATTAAGTGGTACAATTCACTTAATCAAATAGATTATATGTTTAATAAAAAAGAATGATAAGAACAAGATATGAAGTCATTACTTGTAGCTTTTCAGTTTTACTAGTCCATCTCTTCATCAATCACATACCTTTTGATTTACATGCTAAATTTTGTAATATTAAAAATAAGTAAGATGTATTTACTTTTTTAACTAAATTGACTTAAATTATTGTAGAGGACGATTTTGTATATTGTTCATATAGGTTTTTAGCGAATTTTACCAATTCAACCAGAACTTAGTCATTATCAACATAATAACCGATTCAATCAATTTTAGTGTAACCAAACGGGCCATCATATACTACGTATTTCTTTGGTCCTAGATTTCATAATTAAACGTGTAATACAAAAAGAAATTAAAACAAAACCATGAAAAAGTCCTCACTTCTTCAGCTTTGTGGAAGAATATATAATTAACGTTCGTGCATGACAAAAAGGGATAAATAATAAAGAAGATTAAAGATACGTACGTGAAAACGGAGAGGTGGGGGTGGCCGGGGAAGGTGGTGAGGAGCCCGTAGAGTCCGGAGAAGAACAGACTAGCCAATTAGGAGAAGCGGAGTTGCTTCGACGGAGAATAGAAATGCTCCGAGAAATCCGTGGGGCCTGATCATCCATGGCGGGAGAAGCCGCCGCTATAATCGGCGGAGATGACGACAGTGGTTTGATGCCGATGCAATGGTGGTGGTGGGAGAGGGAGATTTGCTTTCGAAGTTTACCTAACCCGCCGCACTCCGGTGTCGGTCCGGCCACCGTCTCATCCCACAGTTTATCAATAAACCCCATGATTATTAATTTATTATTATTATGGAATATATATCAAACGATCAAATATATCCTTCTATATCTGAATTTTCTATTCTTCCAAAAAAATATATATGAATTTTCTATTTTCTAGGCAACAATCGAATTATTACAAAGATGACAGAGATGGATAAAACGATTGTTACAAAGAAAAGAAAAAACTACGAGTATCAACTAACGGCAATGGATTGAGGGAGTGTTTGCAATTGCTTAAAAAAAGTACTTCTCACCTTTTGGCTTTAAAAAGCACTTATTTACCAAACACTACCAATTTTTACTTTTTCTCGGCTTGCGTGTGAAAAGTGTTTCTCTTTTCTATTACACAAAAAGCACTTATTTTACCAAACACTACCAACTTTTACTTTTCAAAATCACTTTTTTCTCAAACACTATCAACTTTTACTACCAATCACTTTTTCCTTACTTCTCCAAAAGTGCTTTTTTTTTAAGCAGAAGCAGTTGCAAACACTCCCTGAGTCCGACAAAAAGTGGTATCTTTCTCTTATATGGACAGAAATGAGAGGTTGATAAGGTCATGGATTTCATTTGACCGATAGCCTACGCTTACGGCTTATGATCATTGGGTGTCTCATATTAAATTTGGTAAATTAATGTAAAAAAAATTGGTAAGTTTTGTGTAACTCAAACTCATTCTTATTTTATTCTTATTTTATTAATTCAATATCAACCATGTAGACTCAATTTTCTTAATAATCGTGTTATCTTTTCATGTCTCAATGTTAGTGATGGGACAGAGCTAGTATTACATACGGAGGATTGTTTTCAAAAGGGTTGATCCCAAATAAGATTTGACTTCCTCATCCACGCGAGGGATTACTTATGACGTGTTTACTTCCTTGTTAAAGTCACAGTTAGGTAGTACGATAAGTGAAGTAAACACGCAAGATGTTTAAAAAGCTGCTTATAACCGAAAGAAGTGTTTAAAGTGCCGCCGACTAAGCATACCCTCATGTAACAATTAAACGACACTTTAAAGTTTTTCAGTTTTCGATTTACCATTATCCTTACATCTTGCTCTTACCCTTTTTTGTTACCCCTACCCTATCCCCTACCTCTACACCCACCCCACTCCTACCCCTACCCCTACCCCTACCCTACCTTACCTTAAATTACCCCTAACCCCCTACCCGTATGTGTATCCTTATCCCTACCCCTACCCCTACCCCTTCTCTTACCCATACGATCGAGTACCTTAGCTACCCGACCCACCCCTTACCCCACCCCTACCCCCTAGCCCTTACCACCGACCATACCCCTACCCTACACCGTACTCTCAATTCCACACCCTACCCCTTGACCCCTATCATGACCATACCCTACACTCTTCCTACCCCTACCTACCCTAGGCACGGGAAGTAGGAGGGTAAGGTCATTGTAGGGAGTAAGGGTATGGAAAGTGTAGAGGTCAAGGAGTAGGGTGTGGAATTGGGGGTACGGTGTAGGGTAGGGGGTGGGGGCTACGGGTAGCGGGGTACGGACGCGTATGAGGTGGCCCCCACATATTATATTATATATTTGTGTACATGAATGTTTGTGTGTCTATATATGTATAAGGTTATTTTGGACATTTTAATTCTAAACGGTGTTTTAAATCTTTTGATGTAAATATGAGCTTACAACACTACTTATTTTATGCGCCGCTTATTCACGTGAGTCTTAATTAACACTGTTTAGTAACATGTGAAGTAAACGTGTCCTTAGCTTCTATGCTTTTGGCAAAGGCGACATTAATCTATATATTTTGACGATTTTATGAGTGAAGCACTAGATAAATACGTAGTATTGTGTAACTATCTTTTCCTCGGCAATACTAGTACCATTGAGGTGGTAGTGGTGACCCATTTGGAGGCAGACGCGATTGATACTATATCTTTTCCACTAATATTGTGATAGGAAGAGATGATGCGATTATTAAAAAAGTGAGTTTGCATGGTTGATACTGGATTAATAATGTTAAAATGAAATAAGAATGGTTTAGAACTACACAAACTTTATGAATTTAGTACGGGACAATCTTAGTGGGAAAGACCGAAAAAAGAAAGATGAGACAATATTAACGGGACAAAAGAAATACTTTTCAAGCAGATGCTTAACACTATCCGACTGTCCGAGGTCGAGTGACTGTGGGTGCAGACTAGTTTCATGTGTGCTTATGGAGTAGTATTTAATTAATATTGAATTGTACAATTAGGATGTTTTATTTGGACTGATATTTTGTGGTATGGTCTGGTATAATAAATGATTGGTCTTATGTATTTTATTATAACAGTCAAAGTCTGTAAAATCTTATCTAATCTGATCTGGTTTGATCTGTGATTAAAATAAGTCCCAATAAAATATTCTTATTCCTTTATTTAATTATTTATTTATTAGCGAACCATCACATTACTTTGCACTTTGGGCATTCTCTTTTGTGCTTTAGAAGAAGACTTGCCATTATTGTTGTTAGGATCTACGAAAATCAATGTTTGCAACTCATCTTTTGAGAAAATTTGCCGTATAATAATAAAAAAGGTTTTAATTTTTAAAAAAAAAAATTGTTGAGTAAATATATTGATTGTGCTAGATTGCAGTAAAAAATTGAATTGATTGAGTGAATGCATATAAAGTGATGGAGAACTTTTGATTCATTGATGAAAGTGGGTTGCAATAAGCCTAAGTATTCCGTCCATTATTGTATTAATACTAGTCCAATTTAGAGCACGTTTGATGATCTCTTTTTTCGACTTATCAACTTTATCAACAACTTTTCTTCAAACACACAACTTTTAATTTGTTATGATGAACTGCTCAACATCAAAATAAATAATGTTGGAGTCACTTTTATGACACAATTGATTGATATGACTATAGAAAATGACTTAAGCTATTTTATAATTTTAATATTTTTTCTTTTTAATAATAGAATATATCTTAAATATAATTTTTTGATTCAGTCAATACACTCACATTAACTAGAATGTATCCAATTTCACCATAATTAATCGAACTTTAACGTCACCAAACACACTATCTATTCTTATCTAAAAGGAAAAGAATTTCTATGCACAATCTTCCCGCCCAGAACCGTCAACTTCATGTGTTCATTTTTTAATTCCTTTAAGGGATAATAAATCCAGGGAATGTATTGCAAGTTATGGGTTCGGGTGCCACTTGATTTTTTGTGGGAACGCCAATCCTATTGGCTGAGGATTGAGGTGGGCATAGTAACCAAAAGAATTGAGGGTTCCTATTGGTTAATATTGTGGTGGCTACTGTGTATAAAATTTCTGATCTGATGTTTGCTGGCCGGCTTTCTATTGGAAGAAAGGGGCGGGCAAACAGTAACGACGTATGGGGCATGCTGTTTTTGGCAAACCGCACCTACATGATGTAGTATAAAAGCACAGCTCCAGATTCATTTTTTTTGTATCGTTCTCAAGTTCCGCTGTAATACCACATAGCAATAAAAAAAATCTCTAAAGCAGGACAACCTGGGCGGAGGTTATATTTCACGATGAGGAGGTAGTCATGAACTGTGTTTCGTCTTTGTTTCCTTCTCTTATAATTTAATTTCATTATACTTGACTCCCTGATTTTGAAAACAATAGGGCGGGTCAAAAATCCATGGGCAAATTCTTTAACATGTTTAGGATTTAGGAAAGGTCGGATATTTGCTGTGGAGAATTTTATGGTCGAGGAAAATCGCATGTACTTCAAAACAACTACAAGTGCGTACAGACTACGTTTCTTCAAGAAGACTGCAGTGTTCGAGGTTGAAATCCCAGAGTTGCACGTCATAGACATGCCAATGAAGTGGTTACATGTTTGTCATATACTCCTCATATGTATGTGTAAAGTTTTAACACACAAGTACCTCTAAATTTATGAAAAAGAAGATTTTTAAACACCATTAAAGATTTTTAAGAGATAGAAGATTCATAAAAAAATTTAGAGATAAGGGTCAGATAGGGTCTCGAACTTGAAAAAAAATGTCAAATAAGGCCATATTTAGGATGCTCTGTCCGGCCGACGCCATTTGGGGTGGTTCCCGGTAGAATTTTTTGATGATTTTTTTGAGAATCTTATTCATCAAGTCTAGTTTACTCATATCAAATTTGAACTAAAACTTTAATCGGGAAGGCATTCAAATGAATTCTTGAAGATAACTGTACCGTTAAAAGCGCAGTTATCTTCATGAATTCATTTGAATGCCTTCCTGATTGAATTGTTAGTTCAAATTTGATATGAGTAAACTAGACTTAATGAATAAGATTCTCAAAAAAATTCATCAAAAAATTCCACCGGGAACCACCCCAAATGGCGTCGGCCGGACAGAGCATCCTAAATATGGCCTTATTTGACATTTTTTTTCAAGTTCGAGGCCCTATCTGACCCTTATCCCAAAAATTTATTAAGAACAAATTTAAAGAAACGGATAGATGACTAATAAAAGAATTTGGAAATAGCATTTTTTTTTAAATTACGGAGTAAATTGCATGGCCTCAAATCCTTTCAAGTTAAACACTATGAATATGTTGGCTAGCAAAGTAAAGATGTTTCTCGACACAACAACAAAGAATAAAAGTTATGGATACCTGTGCATAGAGGAAGATAAGCCAGCTATTAATTAATGGGTGTTTCTGCAGATACATAGACAGCTATTTACAGTCCGCCATGCTAATTATATGTAGTCTAGATCCTGGCAACATTGTTGGAATTGTTTATATCGCCTCAGAGACGTAGATCTACGCGTGAGAGTTACAAAACGGCACCTTTGACCAAGATCTCAGGAAGATATATAAAATTAATCATCAAAGCACTTTTACCTCTTGGATTGTGCAAATCTGTCTGGACACTTCTTAACCTCAAACTTTGATCCCAATATGAAATTGGGAGAAAATTACTTTGCATGTGGCAAGAAGGTCCAAGTTTGTAAAATCGGAGTACAAGTTTGGGAATTGGTAAGGATGTGAAGGGAGAAAAAAATGGACGGTGATGGGAAATTAGGGAGAATTGATGAGTACAGAGGGGGTGTGAAAATTGAAGTTGGTGGGGTTTTTTGGTAAAAGGCTAATTAGAAG